AAGACAAGATAATATATTTAAAGTAAAACATTATTAAAGGTGTGTGTTAAGGACAGTCACTTAACGAGTTGATACTTTAATTGTATAACTGTCAATGATTGGCACAAGGGAATAATTTGAAATAATGAATATAATTCAAGTTATTTTTATTGTATGAGTAGGTTTCCGATACTACTACTGCATTCCATAAAAAGGAGGATATCTTATTATAGTAATAGATAAGAATAAGAAAGGTTTTATCATAAAATAAAGTGTAGGAAGCATGATGCTACCACATACGCAAATCCCTTTGCTATAATTTTCTGGATGAAATTCACAATCTGAACAATATATTCACTGACGCGAGTAATGGTATCTGGCATGGGTATCTGTGACGATAAAATAGATGATCCTGATGCTTCTCAGGGCAAAATAAGTAGTTTAAAAGTATATGACCTACATTCAAAGCCGCCATATCTTTGTGAAACTCGTCCTCATACTTTTTGGACAAATTTTCAAAAATATGAAGGTCATTTATTAGAGCACCACTTTCTGTGTCTAAGTAATTAGTTATCGCATCTTTGGCACCATCCAACAATATATCGTATGCTTTGTGATCATCGTGATTCAAAAACAATAAATCATTGAGCCCCTGGACCTTCTGTGAATAGAAGTTTCGTAGATCTGGATCAGGATTCGTTTTTGACATTTTTTGATATGCCTAAAATTGAGTTAAAAATTCATATACATATATATACGATTCACTGAAGGGTAAATGAAATATAGTGGCTGTAGTAAAAAAAAATGAGGCAACAGTGATCTTTAATGTAAGATGACAGCGGGTTGTATTTGAACTTACCGAGATGCCAAAGCGGACAATAGAAACAATTTCAGCGATGGAATGCTTTTCTTGCTTAAATTTATTGAAAAGGTAATCCTGTCTCGCTCGTTTGATTATCTGAGGTTGGTGAACAAATTCCAAACGTTACCTTATCATCAATGTCAGTTATATTCATCACATAATTAACGTCAAAACGAAAGTAATCCACAAGCACTCTGCGAATTATATCGAAGGAAATGTAGGTTCTAGCGTGACCCATGTGAGAAACATCGTACACAGTCGGACCGCAACTATACCACTCCACATGCTTCCCGTTTAGAGGGACAAATTGTTCCTCCCGATAAAAAAATGCCTAAATTGATACCTTTTTAGAAGAAAGACTGTTGTGTAGTTTTAAAGGAGGTAGAAGAATCGGATTAATCGGTTCGGGCATCTTCCATTCGGGTTGGATACGCTTTTCCATTATTCGCTCTTTGTTTTTAGATAAGGGATGGCACTTTAAAAAATAGGATAAGCAGTTAGGATACAGAAAGCTGAAAGATGGTCTAGACATATGACATGTTCTATAAGGCATGAACAAAACTAAAAGTACGCACGGTAGAGTGAGGCGCCGGCGAAACGCAGTTAACTAAAGCCATGTCCTTTATTTGCATATTATCTAATTAAAATACAATGTAAAAATTTTTTAATATATTTTGCTAATTGTTGCTTCTTTAATATACAGGTTTGAAATCTTTATTATTAAGTAAACATACAATTGGGAATTTTATTTGCCTTGGGAATATTTCACTAGAATTATATATAAAATAAAATTATTTTCTAATTCTTAATTGATATAAGCTATTATATAAATTGTACTAACTGAAGACGGAAATAATTTAGGAGTATTAGCGAGCTCAGAAAGTGAAGAAGTTAGAGGTTGTCACAACTTGATTGCATACTCATATATATATATATACATAATATCTTAATGTCTTTAACCTACATTCCTCTTATAAAATCATCAAATGAGTTCTGATTAAAAAAGAATGATTGAAGTGGCACCTAAGAAAAGAGGAATATTAACGCCTTTAAGAATTATTTATGTTGTACAAGTTAAGAAAGCGAAAAATCTCAGCTGTTCATTTGTTTACTCTACTTTAGCTAGCAATATGTTCAGATCCCCCTTTTCTTTAAAACCCTTGCTTTATTAGCTTCACTGAATAGAGATGTCATCATACGATTTTCAACCGCCACTAATTCTGGCTCAAAGACGCCAGGCTGTCTTATGGCGTGACAAAAAATGGTCGATTTTAGGATTAAATATATATGATTATAGTGCTGGGGAGGATTTCATTTCATATGAAAGTCAATAGAGAAGAGATTCGAAGGCCGATCCCATGAGAAGACGACGAAAGATTATCGTAATATTACAGCTATTTTGGATTTTTCATGACGTTTTTATAGGAGGATAACATATGTTAGCTCTTTTCTGAATTTCCTTTCCAACCATAATTACAAAATTAAGTTTGGACTTTTGAAGTCGATGCTTATTAGGAGTATGCGTCTGGCGGATTACAATCATTTGAGTAAAAATTTGAGCCAGCAGAAAGATTTATTCCTGGAAAGTAATTATCCTTTGAGCATAATTGATAATAGTGCCTCTTTATTCGAGAAGTAATTTTCGGACTGTGCATATTTTGTCATAGAAAGGGTAGCAGATACCTATTCTCATGTTCTAATTCTGCTTTCAAGCCTTCTTTTTAAAAAGCTAGCGAACTAGTGAAAAAGTGTGGGATAAGAACAATGTTTAGGAAACCCTCACACATTCTTTTGTTAGGCCATCTTTTAAAAAGAAAAATGACCGATTATCGAGATCCGGTCGTTACAAAATTGTGTGCTCCTGTAATCGACCTTATGTTGGTGAGGTAAGCCGGCCTATTCAATTAGGGGAACACAAAGATGCTTATATAGGAAACTGTAAACAACCTTCATAAGTGGCCGACTACATGATTGATATTTCACATGAGTTAGAATAGCCTCAAATTAGTAGGTTTGCTAATCATGGTACTTCTGTTGTTAAAAGAAAGATAAAAGGGTTATATGAAAACCCTAGATTAAGGAATATGTAGAATATGAGGAACGGTGGTAAAAAGTTGTGTAAGAAATACTTATGCATGACTGAGAGAGAGGGTGTTCACTCGTCCTCCAAAAGGAAGAAACTCGACTTACTTGCTCATCGATGGTTTTAATTTTACTCACACTTGTCCAACATCTAACTCGCTTATCAACCGAACCTGCCATACGAGATTACCCAGCCTCAGTAACGCTTTTCAGTTTGCCGTTAAATAATAATGACCCTAGCCTAAAAGATTACCGTATTTCCCCATGTATAAGCCACCCTTTTTTTCCAAAATTTCCAAGCCCAAAAAGTAGGGGGGT